TAAATAACATACAAATAATAAAAAATAATAAAACAAAACTTTTTTTGCTAACTTGAATTGTATAGATCTTGGGAGTTGTAGTTTGTTCAAAAGCTTGTACATGTTGGATTTGTTTTGTATTTAGCCTGCCCCTGAAGTGTGAAACCTTTAACTGCTTTTTCCTGTCTTGTTACAGAATATGAATAATTACAGGCTTAGATTATTTAGGTAAACTTAGGTAACTTCATTCACAGCAGGAAGCTAACATCAAGCTTTACTCCTATTATTTCTTAAAATACTTTAAGAGCTTTGGGCTGCATATGGTGTGGGAGGAAACTGAACTGTATAAAAAGCTATGAAATAATCCTAGATTATAAAATTGGTAGTTATCCAGCCTGAGAACATGCGGTGCTGACAAATTTGGGTGGTGGGGTGGGATGGGGAAGAAGGCAAGGGAAGACAGAGAATCTAGATCTGGTCCTTTCGTGTTTGTCCATTCAGTAGTGGTGTACCATGGCTGACATCCGTACATCAATGCCAGTTTATAAATTTCAATATCAGTAAATTTTAAAAAGTGTATTTGTTTGTTCTTCACAGCAGATATTTTTCAACAGCACTTTCCAGCAGCAATTGACTCATTTCAGGATGCTGTAAAATGTCTTTCTGAGTTTGCCTGTAATGTTGCATTTCCGGACACCAGCATGGAAGCTATTAGACTTATTCGGTATTGTGCAAAATACGTTTCAGAAAGACCACAGGTATTTTCTGTTAATTTTTACCCTTGTGTATTTTATGCTATCTTCTACTGTTAAACTGAGACTAATCTTGTAATGGAGAAAGAGCTTTCAGACCCAAACTTCAGGCTCCCAGCAGCAAGCGTTTGTATTAAAAGCTTATTTAGAGTTAGGAGTCATTTGGGTATTATGTAAGCAGTAAACGAGGACTAATTAAAAAATTTTAAGTCTCATCAGTCCAAATTGGAAATAACTGAATGAAATAGTCCTTTTTTTAATAGTGTTAGGATGACCTGGAAAACGGTACTTCTTGTTCTATCACCCTAATTATATCTAGTTAAATTGTTTACAAACATGCATATTTTTCTACATCAGTCTATTGTGTGAATACTTAATATAATAATCACTTCCCTGAAAAGAGCCTGGAGCTAGACTGCAGTCACATGTTACCATTGCAAGATGTGCATGCTGTATCCAATATTCCAGAAAAGTGTAGAACTGTTTATGCCAAACTTGGATTTGCTTATTACCTATATTTATAGAATTGCTGCCTGTCACTGTTAAACTTGCTTCCTAAAGCCCAAACCTCTGCAACTTGTAAAGCCTTTAGCAGGACTAAATAAAACAGATTTAAGTATTTATTTTCCGTATTTTTTTCCAGTATTTTCACAAATAGATATGTCTCAGATTTATACTTATATTTTACAGGATTTGAGTGTTATGGTAGAAACGAAGCTAACTTTTCAAGTCTTTCTATGCCACTAGTAGTATCTAAATCTGTCAGAATTAAAGATTGTTGAGATTTTCTTTTTTTTAATCTTTTTTCCCCTGCCCATCTCCAAGGTATTAAGAGAATACACAAGTGATGACATGAATGTTGCTCCTGGGGACAGAGTATGGGTCAGAGGATGGTTTCCCATTTTATTTGAACTTTCTTGTATCATCAATCGTTGCAAATTAGATGTTCGAACAAGGTAATAAAGCTTTTCTTTTTGTTTTTTAATTCAGTTAGTGAAGAGATCACAGGTATGCATTTTAACATATTTTCCTTTATTTATTTTGGTTTGTTTATAGAGGCTTAACAGTGATGTTTGAAATAATGAAGAGTTATGGCCATACCTTTGAAAAGCACTGGTGGCAAGATCTGTTCAGAATTGTGTTTCGGATTTTTGATAATATGAAACTCCCTGAACAACAAACAGAGGTAAAAACAAACAAAAAAAAAACCCCAAACAAAACCAAAAAGCAAGCAAATGATAGAGTTTGTGGTTTTGTTTTTTTTTTTTTTTTTAAGAACTCAAACAATCAAGGCAGCAGTTTGTATTGTTCATCTTGTCAGTGTATTTCCACCCCATACTGCCCCAAATGTAATGATATGTTGTATTCTGCTGTATTCTGTGGGATGTATGGAACTTGTCATAGCATCCAGTGTTCTATCTGTCTGTTTTGACGGTCTGAGTGTTTTCAAGGAGAATATTCACACTTTATGAAAATGTATGGTTTTCTGAACAGCATTCATGTGGCCAACTAAATGCTTCTGACAAGACATCTGCGGTAGTGAGGCTTTTTAGTTTTATCTAAATTCTACTCCTCTCCTCAGAGGCCATGTCATTTGTTGAATAGCCACATGTAAGCCAAGTGCTATCATCATAGAAAAACCCACATAAAACCAAAGACTTTTCATTTTTTTTCCTCACAGAAATCTGAATGGATGACTACTACTTGCAACCATGCACTTTATGCAATCTGTGATGTATTTACGCAATTTTATGAAGCTTTAAATGAGATCCTTCTTCCTGACATACTTGCACAATTACACTGGTGTGTAAAACAAGGTAGCCTATTTACTTGTGTCTTTTGATTATGTATTTTTTTTAAATGCTCATTGCTTAAGAAGGGGAAGTTAACTGAATTTTGGAAGAATAAAAGCTACTATGAGGACAATATGTTATGTTAATAGGTGGATGCAGTATCTTAAATATTGGAGCATCATTCTATTTAATTAGTTAATGTGTTTATATAGTGTTTATGGTGCTATTGTGGCAGAGCAAAAGCTTTTAAAGAGTTGTGTTAATCTTCTGCCACCAACCTTTCTCCATTTGGCTGCATGGATTAAATACCTCATTTATTTACACATACACATATGTGTTCTGATTTCCCCCCCTTCTCTCAACTATCTAGTACTTTTAGATATGACTTTCTAAAGTGTGTTTTCTTTTGTGCTCCAACTCTTATGCGTGAAATCCTGCATATTGCGAGCATGGAATGTGGGGGGACTACCTTGCAGGAAATCATGCATTTCTAACTGATGCTTTTCCTTCCTTTGTCTCACTGTATGCTTCCTTTCTGCTTCTCTCCTGTCCTTTGTCTTTCCCATTTGGATTTTAATCTCATGAAGTCTATTTTTAAACACTATTTTTTATTCAATAGGTCCCTAAGCTTGATACTATCGTAATATACTTCATAAGTAGGCTTTGAGCTAAGATACCATGCATTTCACAATATTGGTAAAAATGTTTAATAGAACAGTAATAGAGAATGCTTAATTTTTCATTTATATTGTAGAGGTTAATAAATATGAAATATTTCTTTTACAGATAATGAGCAGTTGGCTCGATCAGGTACAAACTGCCTAGAAAACCTGGTAATACTAAATGGACAGAAATTCAGCCCTGAAGTCTGGGGCCAGACATGCAATTGTATGCTAGAAATCTTCAAAACTACTATTCCTCATGTGTAAGTTCATAAATTTAATTCTCATACTAATACCTGATTCCAGAGCAACAATATTTACTTTATTTATTTTCTTTCTTCCGGCCCTCTTTGTGAAGCTTGCTGACGTGGAGGCCTGCGGGAATGGAGGAAGATTCAGCTGAAAAACACTTGGTAAGAGTTAATTCAGTGCAGCGAACTAACTTGAAGGGTTGTGTGTTAGGTTAGCTTTTGAAATGTTTTATTGTAGTAAATACATGACAACAAATACTGGAATTGACATTAGCTTATATTTGGTGTCATTGTAAAATAAGATATAAAGAATGGATGCAGGAAGCCTTTGAATCTAAGATCAGTGAAGTCATCTGAAAACTGATAGCTGGTTGGTAGTTAGTGTTTTGGATTGCTAGAATTGTTCTGCATTCTCTTCTAGGATTTAGACCTAGATCACCAGTCTTTAAGCAGCATGGATAAAAATGCTTCAGAAAGAGGACAAAGTCAATATTCAAATCCAACAGATGAGAGCTGGAAAGGTGGTCCTTATACAAGTAAGGAAAACATGGAAGTTTATGAAATGAACTTTTATAGCCACTCTGAGTCCACTTCTGTAGTTCTGTAGAGAAAGTTTTTGGGCATTTAAAGTTGGGGTACATCTTTACATCTCGTTTATGCCTTGCAGAGAAATTTTCCCTTTATGGGATAATTCACAGCATCACTAAATATCAAAATGCTAATGGTAATGTAGCGTTTTGCTAGCCTGTTGTAAGTGAATTGTCATAAGTTTGCTTCTGAAACTTGTGTTACTCCATTTCATTAGACCAGAAACTATTTGCTGGCCTCCTTATAAAGTGTGTGGTACAGCTGGAATTGATACAGACCATTGATAATATAGTGTTCTATCCAGCAACAAGCAAGAAGGAAGATGCTGAGCACATGGCTGCAGCTCAGGTACCATCAGACTTACTTATAACCTTGTTGTGGCAGTAAAGTACAAAGAGTATGAATGCTCTGAAGTGTGTTTACAAAATAGTCTATAGTCTCTTCCTTTTTCTAACTCTCAGCACTACCCTGAATGTGTGTGTCATTACTTTTCAGCTGTGGTTTTTTTGACTGCCTCGAGTGTTTGCTGGCAGTCTGCCTGTTGGGTTATTATAATTATATTACCATTATTTTTATTATCAATATATTACCATAGTTGTTCTAATAAATACATACTCATCAAGGACGTTTTCTGTTTGGTTTTGGTTTTCTGTTGTTTAGCCTGAGTGTCTTCATTTAGCCACAGTTTGAGGCTTTGTGCAGCCTCTAGGTGTTTACATAGGAGGACATGCAGAAGTTGAACTTTAGCAAGGTTAATGGTCAAGATTTAACTCATCACCTGTCTTGGAGAGCTCCTTGTCCCTGAAAACTCTGACTCTAGGGAATAGTGCAAGGTAGCTCTTGGCTTGGCTATGTTAATAAAGCCCTAGGCTAGAAGTCTGGCCTAGTGCATTCAGGTAGTGTTTTGGGGATGGTGTAGCTAAATTCCTAATGAAATTAGCTAAAAATATTGACCAATTTTAATGAAATTTGACATTAGCCAAAGATGGGCAATTTCTACACTATGCAACATTTAAACTTGCACTATTTTTGTGGTTCATTTTGATGCTTTTCAGAATTCAGCAGACGTACTCAGTCAGCTCCTAGGGGAGAGGAAATGTTCTATATTGTATTGCTATGACTTTTTTTTTATGCCTTGATAAGGGATGTTCTTCCCTTGTTCTTGATTATTTTTTTTCTTATGAATAACTAGGATGGATCATAACTTCCCTATCTTAAAATACCCTATTGACAAGAATCATAGAATCACTTAGGTTGGAAAAGACCTTTATGATATAGAGTCCAACTGTTAACCTAACACTGCCAAGTCCACCACTAAACCCTGTCCCTAAGCACCACATCTACACGTCTTTTAAATACCTCCAGGGACAGTGACTCGACCACTTCCCTGGACAACCTGTTCCAGTGCTTGACAACCTTTTTGGTGAAGAAATTTTTCTTGATATCCAATCTGAACGTCCTCTGGCACAACTTGAGGCCATTTCCTCTCACCCTATCACTTGTTACTTGGGAGAAGAGCCCAACACCCACCTCACTACAACCTCCTTTCAGGTAGTTGTAGAGAGCGATAAGGTCTCCCCTCAGCCTCCTCTTCTTCAGACTATACAACCCCAGTTCCCTCAGCCGCTCCTCATAAGGCCTGTGCCCCAGACCCTTCACCAGCTTCGTTGCCCTTCTCTGAACACGCTCCAGCACCTCAATGTCCTTTTTGTACGGAGGGGCCCAAAACTGGACACAGTATTCAAGGTGCGGCCTCACCAGTGCCAAATACAGGGGGATGATCGGACTACAACGCTGGTATTTGACAGGACCATTCTGCTGTGTTGTATTGCACTAATATTTGCACTAATATTTCACTTATACCTAAAAATGGAATCTGGAGTTAGTGGAATATGGTCTGTGAAGTATCAAAGTCTCTTAAGCTTACATAAAAAGGATATGTTATTGACACTCCTCCCCCTTTCTTTCCCCCCTTTAGCGAGATGCATTGGATGCGGATATCCACATTGACACAGAAGACCAAGGAATGTATAAATATATGTCTTCACATCACCTCTTTAAGTTACTAGATTGTCTGCAAGAGTCTCATTCATTTTCAAAAGCCTTTAATTCAAATTATGAACAGCGAACTGTGTTATGGAGAGCAGGTGAGGCTTTTATTTTTAATTTGATAAAAATACTGAGCTCCATTTATAGCTTTAGCTATTGGGATACAAAAGTATACCATTGCAATAATCTCTACAGTTAATCTGACAGTGTAGAATGCTTTTATTACTTGTCTCCTTCCTGAGAGAGGAATTGTTCTCCTGACTTGAGAATAATTGTTTGCTAAATTATCTGCTTTTTTTATTAAAGTAGAGCTATGCAGTTGATACTACTGTAGTTAAAGACCGTTTAAACAGATTAGGTCTTAGTTAAAATTGAGGAGGAGGAAATACTATATGGACAAGAAATTATTACTGTTCACTAGTGGAAGTATCGTTGATAAACTTTACCTCTTGGCTAATAACTACAAATGTGAACGTTCCCCCCCTCTCTCTATGTGTAACTGGTTTCTAGGGTTCAAGGGTAAATCAAAACCCAATCTCTTGAAACAAGAGACCAGCAGCTTGGCTTGCTGCTTAAGAATACTGTTTCGAATGTATGTGGATGAAAACCGACGAGACTCGTGGGATGCTATACAACAACGACTGCTTAGGTAAGAGTATCAGCTTGGCTCTGGTGAGTTCTGTTTTCAGGCAGTATGGTGCCTCCCTAGATACAAATGTTCTGTTCTGACTTGCTGAGCAGAGCGTGCGGAGTATATGAGAAGAGAGAGAGATGACCACTCTTTATTAAAAGTTAATTTAGGAAGGAGGCAATCTACTTGGAATAAATGAAGCACCTTCTTGCCTGACATAAGCTTTTCTTTACAAAACTAGTGGCGTGTGAATACTTTTCACATCTGAGTACATGATGATATTCAGAGGTATAATAGGATACGGTAATCTAAAGAGTGCAGTATAAGCTGCTGTATACCTGGAACTTAGGTAAACATAGAAAATTATGCTAAATAAATATAAAAGGGTATTGTGGTCCCCTTTAATTGAAAAGTGAATTGTTGGTACATAAAAGTTCAGAGTACTAATCTCTAATCAAATGTAAAGAACTCTTAAACTTGCTATTGGTATTAATGCAGTGGATTTCAGTAGCATTCTGATTTGTCAGCATCTATGGACATATTAATCTTTTTGGTGTGTAAAAGAGGAGGTTCTGTTCCCTCTTTAATCAAAATAGTGCCCAAAAAAAGCCATAGTTAGTGGTACCGTTTGTACCTTGTATTGACAGTTTACAGCAAGGACCAAAAATTTATTAATAAAATAGTAATCTCTCTTTAATCTGTGATGTTGAACTCTGCAGATCTTTATTAAAGCAGTCTAGATTTGGAGGGAGAACTCTTTCATGTTGCTGTTGCCTAAGCTGTCCCAACGTAAGGATCAGGAAATGATGTTTGCAGGCTGAAGGTGACAACACTTTAATTACAGAATGTTTATGAGGAAAACTAGACTCTTCCAGCTCGGACTCCATGGTTCTTATTGATAACATGAAAACTATTTCAGTTCAGTTATCTGTAACAACTACTATAACAGAAAAATCATTGAGGCCAATTTGTGTAATTAAAGTTGTTGTATGTGATTGAAAACTTTCCCATGGAAATGCATCTTACTTGAAAACAAAATACACTATGAAAGGTCAAACAGTGCATATTATAAAAACTTTTTGTGGGTTTTCTTTATGGTTTGCCTGAACTGTGTAATTTCTTTAGTGTATGCAGTGAAGCCCTGGCATATTTTATTACCGTGAACTCAGAAAGCCACAGAGAAGCTTGGACCAATCTCCTGCTGTTGCTTTTAACAAAAACACTAAAAATCAGTGATGAAAAGGTAAGAATAGGCTGGAAGTTATGTCTGTTTGCATTCAGGTATTGTTTTCATTTTTGCTTCTGTTGAATTCAGTCTTTATTAATCATCCGTATTGCAAGGTGGCTCACTTATTTACATAGCATGTACTTTCCTTGAAATACAGTAATCATTACATCTCCGTTTTTTGCAAGCATTCCGCATTGTAAAAAAAAAAAATCAGACTGCATCCATGAAATTCACAGTTGTATAGAAATCCTGATAGAATTACTGCAGAGCTTTCGTATAAAAGTGCAATGAGTGTTAAATAAAGGATGGGCTTGTGCTGTATTACTGTTGCACAAGAATGGTAGAGGTAAATTTCACCACCATAAAATTGGAATTCTGGTTCCTTGACAGTGATGGCAAAAAATAATTCTCAGGGTCTCAGCCACTTAGAGGAAAAGGTGAATGCAAACATTCACTTAGAATGTGCAGAGAAACTTCTGGAAGTTGCTTACTTTTTTTTTTTTTTTTTTTTTTAGATTTCCAATACTGTTGAGCTTCATCTTGTTTTAAAGTATTTTTTTTTCCTGGTGAATTTTTTTCTGTATTGCAAAGTGTATAACTTCGCTTTATTCTTGTGTAGTTTGGGATGTTTTATTACAATTTGTCAATATTTTAAGAAATTGGTAGTAGTGGTGGCTTGGTTTCTCCATGTAGCAGCAATTTGGCGATATCCCTGTGGTTATGGTGTGTTGTGAGAATAGTCTTAACTCTTTGTAGATAAAATGGCGACTTGGCCGTTCCTTAGTACACAATCCCAATATCTTTTTATTATAAAAGTTTTGTGGTGAAAGTGTTCCTTCAACTTTCCCTGTAACTAATACTGGGCGTTATTAGGAAAGGAATAGAGGACAAAACATATTTCTTGTTGTGTAAATTTGACGGATTTGCATCTTGAATACTGTTGCAGTTCTGATCGCCCATATCGAAAGGGGTGTAATGGTGCTGGAAAAGGGCTGAGAGAGTGTAACAGGAATAAGGTTATAGACTGGCTCCCATACGTGGAACTGTATGTAGGTTAGACTTTTACTCACTATCTTTTATCCAGAAACAAAATAAAAATGAGAGGTGCATAAAGTCATTATTAGCATGAAGAGAGGGAAAGGAGTGATAAATCTTATTCACCGTCTCTTCAAGTATTAAGATGGCAAGTCACTGTAGGGGGGGAAAAAACCCAAACATGTAAAGGAGATACTTCTTCACACAGTGGTTCAGCTGTGGAAGGCTTTGTTGTGTATTGTGGATGATATTTTAAAGAGGCTGGAGAAGCAACTGGACAGATACGCATCAGAGGGGGGTGCTTCTACAGGTAGTCCCTGATAACACCTCTAGCCTGAGAAATCCCTGAGCCACAAAATAGTCTGGCTCTGTTTTAGCTAAGTAATGCTAAACGCACGCTCTGTGTATGGTTTGCTGTAAGCACCTGCTAAGGCTGCTGTGGAAAACAGACACTGGGCTTGTTGGCCCTTTGGCCTCCTTTGATCGGGTGAGACCTTGTGTTTTAACAAGTTGGTGTACGCATGAATGTGGAAAAACTCTGCGCTTTCCTATAGTAATAGAGAATAACATTCTTTTTTCATATCTTCTTTGATAGTTTAGGGCACATGCTTCAACATATTATCCATACTTGTGTGAAATCATGCAATTCGACCTGATTCCTGAGCTTCGAGCTGTGCTACGGAAGTTCTTCCTGCGTATAGGTGTTGTGTTCAAAATCTGCATAACAGAGGAGCAGATACGGACAACTGGGATGAACTTACCTTCATGGTAGCCCTAAGTAGGGTTGGTTACTTCGGCTTGTACATAAAGCTATGTTCCAGAGATGGATTAAAGTGGATGGGAGAAAATGGGACCCTGGTGTATAAACACAGCAGCAAGTTACCCTTACCACAACGGCATTTGGGGAGGAGGAGAAAAAATCCTGTTCTGTCCATCCTACAAAACTATCAGCAGTTTTATTTAAATTATTGCTTACAGAGTTAATACAGTAGATGTAAAGTCTCTTTGTTTCAATGCTTGTCATCCTTATGATCACGTCTGTCTCTTCTAGTCTTTTATCAATTGTTCAGTCTTGCATCCCAGCTAAATCTGATAAATCAGCTGGATTCCTCAATAGAAATTATGCCCCTTGGAAATAACGAATATAGTTGTATAGCCTTGTGATGTTAGCACATGTGTTCATAATAAACTATACTGCAGTGGCTAATGACCACCTAAGATCATTCTGGGTTTTTCTTTGTGTGTACATGACTAGACCAGGCAGTGTGCTACAGTTTTTTGAAGTGGACAGCTGGTGGACAGCTGGTAGGGTTATTTGGGGAAAAGGGTTTTCCTCCTATTTAGCAAGTCACTTTTAGAACTACTTTTAATATCAGTGCTTCATCTTCTCAGACTTAATTTTGGTTTTATGGAAGGTTTTACATCAGGAGCACACAATAGCATCTACTCTATTTAGCTTGTTAGCCTTGAGTTAAAGGCATTTAAAAAAAAACCCACAACCTTTCTATTTACTTTCATACATTGCCAGATCATGAACAGATCACATACAGTAATATTAAAACCAAGGTTTAGAACAAAAAAACATCTTTTTTTACCCTTGACTATAATGTATTTGGAAGTAATTGTGTCTGTTTAGCAAGAAGTCCTGTCCTTAATACATATCAGGTTCTGCCTATTTACTGCCAATCTGCAACTTCTGATTTGTCTTTTTGTGCAAATGATTTTTGTTCTCAACTATTAGTCCTATTGTGATCTAAAAGAAAACTGAATTGCCACGAAACTGCTCTAGCAAAATTAAACTTAAGTTCATTCATGTACTGTAAGTTACCAATACATTTATATGCTTTGAAGGTATCTGTGAAACAAATGTGACTTAACACTACAGCTTTGCTCGCCCTAGAGATTTTTCTTTTTCTTTGAAACACATCAGTCTTCTGTGACAACTGTTTCCATGATAGAATAGCAGTTTACAGTTGAAGTACTGCAGGGCTGAGGTCTGTCCTTTTGAACTCATTTTAATTTCAACTTTTAAGATTTCTCTAAACTGGAAGAGTATGGCAGGATGGGAGGAGAGGTTCCACTTCCTAAAATAATGTAAACAAAGGTGTTATATTAACTGCTGTGCTATCCATATTAGGCAAACCCAAAATATAACAGTATTTAAAAACAAAACAAAACAAAGCCAAACCAACAACCTACTTGAATGGTATTCAGTGTTTAACCTGTTATTTTGCTTAAGTTAAGTTTCCTGGTAGGGTGGCCGTAGTTGAGGTTGTCTTGGGATATTCCACTCTCAGAGCTGTTGGGATTCTTTTTTTTTAATTGTGTTTTTTGGGTTGGTGGCTTTTTTTTTTTTCTTTTGGTAAGCTATTTCCAAAGGGTTCATATGGTGCTCTTCAGTAAATCGGCTTCTATATAAGCATTGTTTGGGAATGGTTTTGCAGTCAATCATAGTGATAAGGCCTTCACATCTTTATTTTTACTTTTTATTTTTAACCAAAGAAAAATAAATGGTGGTTGTGGCTCTTTAACTTTTAAAAGCCCATTAGATTAAACCTATATCCTAATATTTAGTAGAAGGGAATATATGGCTGTATTTTACAATAGGAAAAGACTGAAAAATAAGCAATGCTGATATTTAACTTGCTGGATTTGAAATGTCCTTTTGTGTTGCATTTAGTATAGTTGCTCATTCTCTGGTAATGTCACTTCATCAATTACAGTAAAAATGAAGTATTTATTTTAATTCTATTTAAATCTGTAAGAATAGGCTATTCCTTTTCTTCCGGTCCTAGATAGTCCTAAAGAAAATATTTGAAACTTTATTTTTCAGATTTTGGATTTGTCACTGCCTCATTGAATGTGTACCCTTATCTCCTATCAAAACACAAACTTTTTAAAGTTGCATGCTTTTTCTGTATTTTACAGTTTTGAAAGCCTTACAACTCATGTCTTGAAACAAGTCTCTTAATTTTCAGAACTTAAATTGCTCTGCAGTTGCATTGCGGGCTTTCTTTACTGTAAGGTGCAACATTTGTACTATCTCTGTGTATAGAATAAGGGCCTTTAATCAATCCTTCAGCCTTAGTTCCGAGACTGTTCTTTTCCTTAAGTAAAGCTTTTATTGTATTTATACCATTTATAAACTGCTGAAATTAGGTATGTGACGTCAAAACATCCTAGACTCTAGCACATGAAGGAGAGCGGAGACTGGAATGCAATTGGATTATAGCAGCCTTAATCCTGTCAATTTTCTGAAATTGATTGTACATGTTAAAGCAATAAGAAGGGTATGTGAAGTGTACTACCTGAGACAGTTGTATTCACACCAGCTGTTTGGTTTCCCTTATGCAGTCAGAAAGATCATAACCCGTAGACATCCTAATGAAGCTAGAACTGCTGAGCCACAACTCCTGCAGTAGTCACTGCTGGTTCCGATCTTGTCCTGACTCTGCTGACATAGACTTTATCTGCCTGTGGTGGTTTTATTGGCTTTAGTGGAACTGTGAATGAGAACAAGGTTCTGTGCCAGCATATCCTGGTAGAGATCGAGACATCTGTGCAATACATGGAGTAATAAAAGTAACCTCTTAGACTTTTAAAGTAGTGTTATGCAACAAATTAAGCTATAAACTGATTTACCTATAATGGTATAAATATGGGGACTGCATGGTATTTGTTATTTTTGGAACCCTATAGGAAATAGGTAGGCAGGGGGAGGATGCTAATGAGGAAAACCCTAAAACCTCCCTTTCATGTTGATTCTATTGTGAGTTACAGTACAAGAAAATATTATTTTTACAGTGGTTCATTATCCATGTCTTGTATCTCACTTGGCAAACTGTAAACAGAACAATCTAAACCAATGTCCACTAATACAAGCAAACACCCCTCCACATTTTAGCTCAGTCTTACTTCTCATTTGAAGAATGAGAAAGCTTAAAAAAATACAACTTTTGACAAAAGCTTTGTTCTACTTCAGACTAAAAGTGCAGCTCCCTTTAATATGTAAAGTCAGTTTGTTCAGCACCTTTAATGTTATTTCTGTGTAAAATGTATGTTTTCACATATTTAAAATGCTTAAGTTTTTTTGAAGATCTCCATTATTAAGTGCATTTAATAATTTAAAGAGCATTCCTTGCCTGATGGATGTATACATTTTTGAGAGAATACCAAAATTATATATGAAAAATTATGTAAAGTTTTCTACATGAGAATACAATGTATAATACTGTTATAATAGTCCATGCTTTAATCAAGTGGTAAATCAATAAAGTTTTAAGAAGTGTTGCTTGTTTTTTCATGTAGTTTATTAGAAAGCTTGTGAACCTCCCTTCAACATGAGAATTTATCGCTGATGATAATTACAGGGCTTTCCCCGCTCGGGTTTTTCTGTTGCTTTTTTGTCAAACAACAAAGCATTTGGTTTTTGGTTGTGGTTTTTTTTTTTTTACCATACCACTACTCCTGGCTGCTCTTTTTTAATAAATAAAGGGGCTCCCGCCCTTCGGCCGCCCCCGCTTTCTGCCCTCCCCGACCCCG